GAATGGTCTGGGCGGTCTCAGCGCCCTGGCGCCGCTTCTGGTGCGCACGGGGAGCGCTCCGCGCCCCTGGGTCGAGGTGCTGGGACCGCCCCGGACTACTCGGGGGTCTGCTGGGACCACCCCCGGCCTAGTGGAGGCCAGCCCACAAGAAACCCTACAAGAAACCCAACTCTGAGACCCCAGGACGTGCTTTGATTTGTGGTGTGGGAGCGTCACGCTCTCCATGGCAAAACCATCGAAGCCCAAGAAACCCAGGGCACCTTGGAGGCAAGCAGGGTGTTTACTGGCATGGGTCTCCACTGTACTCTGGGGGCCTGTTGAGGCCAACTGGGACTACCTGGGCAGGAGGGGAGGAAGGAGGACAGGGATGAGCAAGAGGGGGGCCCCTGACTCCCAAGGTCTGCCAACTCCTGGCGGAAACTACGCTGATGAAAGGAAGCCTCCGCACCGTCATGCGCCGTCCTTCCACGAAGCCTCCCACTGCCACCCGTAGCCGGCCCCCGAAACCGAGACACCTCCCCGAGGCCCACTCGGGACGCCTCCCGTCGAGAGGCCCGGCTGCCTAAACGGCTCCCGCGGGCAGGAAGAGAACCATCCTCAACCCACGCAGGCGTCCTAAAAACCCTTCCCGGAGCCGTGCACCCCCCCCCATCCACCGCTGCCCCTGTGCCTCGCGAGCCTCGCGGACGGGGCCCCCCTGAGGCCGCCACGCGCTGCCCGGCCGCCATGTCCGGGGTCGCCGTGGGCGGCCGCCGGGTGCTCGGCGTGGCCGTCGGGCTCGCTGGCGACGCGCAGCCGGCGCGCTGGGAGGCCGGCAGGCTCGGCAGCTTCCTCGGCGGCGCGGCCGTCGCCAACGCCGCCGACAGAAGAGGAGGTGGACGGCTGGGGAGGGGAGGGAGGGGAGGGAGGGATGCGTCCTCCTATGCTTCCCTGTCGCCTCCTCCATTTGTTGCATCCTCGGGCGGTCCCCCCTGGACCCGACGCCCCCCCCAATTTAGGTTCCTCCGCTCCTGCAGAGCCATCCTGGGGTTCGGCTGGCAGGGTGTCGGGAAGGACTCCCGCGATGTCTGGCGAGGGTCTTGCGTCATCTCCCGGACGTTTCGCCCAATCGTTGGGACGCACGCCTGCGTTCGCGCGAACATTTCAACATACGCGCGTTTGCCATGGAACCCGCGTTGTCGTCATGGAAGCAATCTGGGCTGCGCAGACGCACTGATGCGCAAACGATTCAGGCGACAACCCAGCGCGACATTTCGGAGTTCCGCGCGTGTCTTGGAATGTTGTGTTGCCTCCATCCAAAATGATTTGTAGTGGTTTCTCTGCGCACCCCCGAACAGGATCGCCTCCTCCTCCTCCTCCTCCCCCTCCCGCCTGTCGTCCACACTCACACACTCACACACCCATGCACGGACACACCCACACACGCACCATCATCATCACCATCTTCACCATCCTCATCCTCATCCTCATCCTCATCCGCATCCTCATCCGCATCATCATAACCATCATCACCACCGCCGTCATCATCACCGTCATCCACCACATTGGCCCCATCAGTCGTATTCCGTCATAGCTCACCCCACCATCAGGATGTCATAATCATCACCATCGGCCTCATCATTAACACCATCATCACCATAATCATTTCTGTATGATTGATCATCGACGTACCACAGGCACGACCGACACCACATTCGTCAGCAACGTCACAAACACGGCGCCGTCAGGATCATCGCAATGTGCCGAAGTGATGTGTTAAAAAACGGGAGACCCCGCCCTAAGGTCTTCGCGTTGTTCGGAAACGTGGCGTATCGGCAGACCAAAGCAGGCACAGCACCTGAGCGTCCCAAAACAGCCTCGACCGCGATCGCATTGTGGACACATCTCGCGTGGGAGCCTCCTTCCCGAAAGCCCCGCACGTCGTATTCAAATCCGAAGGCTGTCATCGACGTACCATCGGAGACTCAGAACTTGAGCACCCCGGGGAGCTTCGTCTATGATTGAATTGTCAGGAATTCTCGATCGGGGGGCCCCTCACTAAGGGCCCCGCGCTTCACGTTCGGATCGGAAGATGGTCATCGGCGTACCGCACCACGCATAGCAGTTCACCATCTCAAGCAGCTCCGCCTGCGCATGAATTGCGGGGAGGTCACGAGCGGGAGCCCCCTCTCCAACAGCCCCCCACTCCATGTTCACATCCGACGCGGATCATCGGCGTGCCAATGCAAGCATATCACTTGAGCACCCCAAGGAGCCTCGCATGTGAGTGAATTGTGAGGCGGCGTCGAACGGGAGCCCCCTCCCGACCTGACGCGCGCGTCCCACATGTCTTCCACGCTGTGGCGGGGACAGACGCTGCGCAACGACGCCATTACCAGACGCGCCAGAGAAAATGACGCTGGTCGCACGGGTGTGTCGGACGAGCGGCGGCGGCTGTACCTCTACGTCATACTATGCAGAACGCGCTCATCGTGCGGGCGCACGCGCGAAACATCCTGGACCGCGGGCCGCCAGCGCCCCCTGCGGAAGGCGCCCGAACTCGAGACCTGCAGGGCTGCCCCAACGGCAAGGCTCCCGCGCGCCATCGGCCCGCGGCGCCATCTCCACGGCCCGGCCCCGCGGGTCTGCCCAGACGGCGGCCATCAGAGAACGCGCCCCCTTCTGGCCGTGGAGGCGAGGATGCCGAGGAGAATCAACATGCGTGCCCCGGCCACGAGTAAGGAGAGGTGCGTGAGGAGAACCGGCGGGATGGAGATCAGTTCAAGGAGAAGGAGGAAGAGATGGAGGACGATGAAAAAGAGTACACAGCCCCAAGGGACGACCGACGACGGCGGGACGACCAGTCATCCTCGCAGCGCCTCGTTGGTGGCGGGCGGGGCGCGCCTCCGCAGCTGTAGGAGACGGGCACGACCGATGCCACGAACGCGGGTGAACTCTGTTGCGGGCGAAACTCTCGGCCACCATTTCACCATTTCAATTCGTGGTATGCGGAGCAGCAAACGAGGAGAATGAAGTGGAGGAGGAGGAGGAGGAGACATGGAACGAGGAGGACGAAAAGGAGGAGGTGACAGAGGCCGAGGAGAAACAGGCGCAGCAGAGGGCGGGAGGAAAGCCTCCGCCAGGGCGAAGAAGGCGAGGGGCAAGCTGCATCGAGTCTTGTGCGGGGTCCTACACCATCGGAGTCTGGGTGGGCCGCAAGCCACGCCGCTGCGGAAACGCAACGCCAACAGCCACGACAACGTTCTCCTGGAGTGCGGCGCGTTGTTTACTCCGGACACCGCGCCAATGCACAGCAGCAACGCAGACAGTAACGACAGCGCGAACAAAAGCGCCAAGAACACCATTGACCCCCCAAGAAACTCCAAGAGGACCCTCACGGTGTCCTCAAGATGAAACAGTACAGTAGAAGCTGGACCACGAGAAACCTTCAAGGAATTCAGCCCTGAGACCCCAGGACGTCCATGGATGTTTGGTGTGGGAACGTCACGCTTTCCAGTGGGAGCGCCGCGCTTTCCACAGCAAAGCCATTGAAACCCGAGACACTCAGGGCACCCTGGACGCAAGCAGGGTGTCTCTTGGCATGGGTTGCAGCTGTAGCTGGCTTTCATGCCTCTAGATGTTCTAGGCTTCTCACAAGCCAAGATGCGCGACGGGCCCCCGAGTCTGGCCCAGACGACGGCCCAAAAGAGCTCCCGAGGTGGCCCAGAGACGGCCCAAGACGCCAGCAACAGGCCTTCAAGGTGACCCCAGGAGTAGCCAATGATGACGAACCCGCAGCCCCCCCCCCCAAAACACCTCCGCACGCAAATAAGCTCCCAAGAGAGCCAGAGGTCTCCCCAGAGCCACCAGGAGACTCCAAGAGGCTCCGAAGAGGCCCCCCGCGAGGCCTCCAATATGCTCCCAAGGAGCCTCGCAGCGGATGCGGAGGAATGGAAGGGAGGATGAGCCACCAACACCAAAACGGAGGCAACACGAACGGACACGGCAAACGACACATCGATGTCGGGAGTTCAGCAGAAAGCAGCCCACGAAAGCTGTTAGACGTACCCAACAAGCGCACCCAATCGCGCGCAAAGCGGACAGAATGCTTCTCCCTCACATGGCGCTGTTCGGCGCTGTTGGTCGCTCTTGGGCGCTGTTCGGCGCTCCCGGGCGCTGTTGAGGACTATCGGGCACTAGTCGCCAATTGACATTCAATCCAAGATGAGCGGAAACTTCTCTGATTCACCATCAAAGACGCCGCACATCTCCTGTTCTGCGGGTGGGCGGAACAGCGTTAACCCTCTTGAGCATCGGCGTTGTGACTATCGATCATACCTCTTCTCCAGCCCCAAGCGGCTTCCGGACAGCGTCCAAGAGGGGCATCGTCCAGCCACGCGGCATGCCTGAGCCCATTCGGCGATCGAGTGGTGGAGAAGAACTCGAACGCAAGAAGAAGCACAACACATACACTAGCGGGAAGGTCTTCCCCCAATCTCTGAATCTGTGTCCCATCCCGTCTCGGAGCCGTCTTCGCCTCTGCCGTCCGTTTCGAAGCACGACGCCACGGACATCGGTCGTGCCTTTTTCTCCCGGCACGCGGCCACCGCCTGCGGACGGTCGAAGCTTGTGCCAGATAGTCACTGGGTGATCTGACCCTCCTCCTCCTCCCCCTGCTCCCTCTCCTCCTCCCGACCCTCCTCTCCCCTGTTCCGCTCCTGCTCATCCTCCCCCTCCCGGATGCCGTCGCACACCACCCTGGAAAAGTACTGCAACCAATCTTTCAATTTCTTGGACCCTCCCAGGCCCCCGATCTCGTTGTGGAGTCGGCCGCGGCCGACGGCGGCAACATCGAATCGCGCGGCACCCCGCGCGAACATCGAAACTGAGGGGCGCGGAAAAAGGCGGACCGCACGCGGCGAGAGTTACGACACTTCTCCGGGGTGGTGCAGCACAACATAACAAGGACTGAACGATATGATCCTTCTCCCCCTTTCCTCTCCTTCCCTTGCTCCTGCTTCCCCCCCCCGTCCCAACTCTCCTATCGGCGAAGTTCAAACACACTGCGCAGGATCGCTCAGTTAAATCCACTGCGAGAAGATCACTCCGTGATCAGATCTAGCGGCCCACACGCTGGCGGCCCGTGTTCAAATGCGGCTGGCACCGGGGCAAGAAAAGAGATCATGGAGAGGAGCAAGGGCCCTGTGCAGATGCTGTCCCAGAGTGGAACACGATGCAATACTACAGTAGGCGATCGGTGGTCTGCCCAAATAAAACAAAGGCAGGATGCAGACATACTAGGACCGAGATACAACGGGAATCTCTGAGACCTGGCGGGTCTCAGGAATCCGTCGGGCGCCGCCGCCGTTCCAGGGCGCTCCAGATCTGAGAGCGTTCCAGAGCAGTCTGGAGCAATTACATCCGTCCTGAGCGTGCGTGAGCCCAGCCTGCCCCACGAGGCGACGGAGCGGGTGGCATGGATTCCATCCGACCTCTGGAGGCCACGTTTTGTGATCCATGCCCTGTACCCTTGGCCCACAGGAGTTACAACTCTCTCGAACAAAAATATGGGAGTAGGCATCCGCTCCTCACGGATTTGTTAGACCTGCGCTGGACCCCACCTCCCTGGCGCGCGGAGCGCGCCAGGGGCGGCGCCGGAGGCGCCTCCAGTGGGGCCCAGCGCAGATAGAAGACATCCGCGCGGAGCGCCGAAAGCTCAAGCTTATGCCTTTTTGTTCGTCTTCGAGTTGTGGGGGAAGCAGTGCGGGTGTGGGGCAGAGCGTCGATCGCCGAGGCCAGCGCGGAAAGCCGAGCTGCGCCTCCCCCGTCGGCCACACGAGACGGCTGCTGCCGTGAGACCTTCGGGGCCTGCCCTGCCACCCATGCCCGCTGCCACCGCCCCCCTCCGCTGGCTCCGACTGGGCAGTGCCAAAAGGGGCCGCCGCCAGGGGGATCGCCACCTCCTCTCCGGGAAGCACACCCATCGGGGCCGCCCCAGGAGCCCCCAGGACTCCAGCAGGCGCCCAAAAGCCTCGATCCTCCCTCCTTTCCTCCTCCTCCTCCTCCTCCTCCTCCGCCTCCTCCTCCTCCTCCTCCTCCTCTTCCCCCTCTTCCCCCTCCTCCTTCTCCTCCTCCTCCTCCTCCTCCTCCTCCTCGATCGATCCTCTGACCCCCAGAAGCACTGCCCGAACCGACACCAGCGCGACCGAGGCAATGCAAGGCTCTGTCCGGGCAGGCGGCTGCCCGGAGAACCAGCGAGAGAAGGAAGGAGAGCTAAGGAGAGGCCGGAGAGGGATGGCACCCTCCGGGCGCGGCGGCACCTGCCGCGCCGAGGGTGCGGAGGGTGGAGGTCGAAGGGTGACGAGGACGGGGAGCAGCAAGATCCTCGAGAAGCAGGGGGGAGGAGCCGAGCGGCGCCGGGCGCGTCTCAGGAGCAGTCCATGGCCAGGCTGCTGCAGGAGGGCGCCAAGGGACCGCCTTAGGGCGCCCCTGGTCGGGCCGAGCCTCGGCCCAGGGTCCGTGCACAGCGCCCTCGAGGGCCCCGAGCCGAAATCCTGCGCTCACGGGATGCACCCAGTGGCTAGGACCTGTGCGGGTGCACAGGGCTCTGCGCCACCCCAAATTGGTATACTCCGCAGACGGAGACGCCGGCCGATGCGGCAAATCGGCGCGTCCCCGTCACCTCGCCATCGCTCGGACGTCCATTCACTTTGCATGCTTCGATGCCGTGCGCGCAGTTGTTTCGCAAGATGGTCCAAGACTCTCCGCGGTGATGATCGCCAAGGGAAAAAAGGCACGAGTCCGAGCGATACCGAGCCGCTCTCCTGCGCCATCCCGCCAGAGAGTGGCCCCTTGCACTTCCGCTCTCCTGCCGTCTCCATGCGCTGCCAGAACACCCGTCACTGGGTACCCGGCCCCGGCGGCGCTGGGGGCTGGCTTCGCCGCCAGGACGTCAGAGGCCTCCCAGATGGGGTCCGAGTAGATGGGGTCGGAGGATCGCGCCGCATCGCCAATGCATCGGTGATTTATCGGCAGTGCGTCGTCGATGCATCGGCGACGTCGGCGATGCACCAGCGACGCCGGCGTGGGGAAGATCGGGCTCCGCACGGAGACGCCTCGGCGATGCATCGGCGATGCGGCGCGATCCTCCAACCCCATCTACTCCGACCCCATATGGGAGGCCTGGAGACGTACCCACAGATCCGCCGCTGCGGGCTTGCACCCGCGGACCTCGAGGGAAGGGTGGAGACGGATGCCCGCCCGCGCCTCGAGGCCGGAGGGCGTCCACACCGACCACTCCTCTCGGGGCCCCCAGGCGCAGCTCCACCGAGCATGGCGGGGAGGGGGGACACCTCGCGCTTCGGCGGTGGCTTGGCGCCCTCCGATGCCGGGGTTGGCGTCCGCGTCCGCGGGCCAGGACCCCGAGCACCTCTGGGGAAACCAGGAGGTACCGATGCCGCTGCGCCCCGGACCTCTCCCGAGCTGCGTTCGGACCAGGACTTCGAGGCGAATCTGGCGGTGGCGACGAGGGCCTTCCAGGCGGCCCAAAGAGGGGAAACCGGGCGAGGGCGTAGCTCGCCATCGCTCGGACGTCTATTCCATGCGTTTTTTTCGGCTTCGCGCGTGGCTTTTTCGCCAAATGATCGAGGATGCTCCTCGATGGCCCTCGCCGAAGGAGAAATGCACACGTCCGAGCGATGCCAGGGTAGAGGTAAGTTATGAGTACCTTCCCCTCCTCTATGCACCTCTGCCAGAGCGCCAGGGCGCCCTTTTTTCCATAAGTTGAACTTCGATTTCCGATCGAAAACATAAGGAAAACCTGAGGCAAGCTGTGAAACACTTAAAAGGAACGCGGCGCCCCTCCCCAACCCAAAGGGCTCTTTCTTCAGGGCCCCGACTGTAGAGGCAGTCATGAGTACTCCAGATTTCGTAATAAAAGGGAGGGGGTCTGGACCCTCCAAGACAAGCCATTTCAGGCCCCCCCCGTGGGAGAGCCCTCCAGAACACCGTCCCCAGACCCCCCCCAGGCCCTCCAAGATAGCCTGGAAGAGACCCCCCCCCCGAAGTGAGACCCCCCTCCCTTTTATCACGACATCTGGAGTACCTTCCCCTCCCCGGGCGAGGGCGTAGAGGGAGGAGGAGGAGGAGGAGGAGGAGGAGGAGGAGGAGGAGGAGGAGGAGGAGGAGGAGGAGGAGGAGGAGGAGGAGGAGGAGGGGAGAGGAGGAGGAGGAGGAGGAGGAGGAGGGAGGAGGGGAGGAGGAGGAGGAGGGAGGAGGAGGAGGAGGAGGTAGTTAGGAGTACCTCCCCCTCCTCTATAGGCACCTCTGCCAGAGCGCCAGGGCGCCCTCCAGGTCGTGGAAGCGCAGGCCACGGCCAGCGTCCGCGGGGGGCGCCGGGGCCGCGGGGCCGCGGGCCCACGGGTGCTCCTCCAGGAGGGCGCGCGCCGTGCCGCGCGCGGCGGGCTCCACGGCCAGCGTCCGCGCCACGAAGTCGCGGCCCGCGGGGGAGACGTGGCGCCAGCTGCCCTCGTCGAAGAGCAGCGGGTCGGTGACCTCTCTCCGGAGGGGGAAAACACACACACACAGACACACACACACACACACACACAGAGAGAGGCACCGCGAATCCTCGATTCCCGGGGAAACAGGGGAAAATATGGGAAGTGGGGGGGGGAAGACAGAAGCCCAGAAGATATGGGGAAATGATGGGGAATCTTTTTGTTTGTGTGTACTCATTTGTGTGTCCTGGGGCCCCTTCAACCTTGGAGGCGGGGTAGAAGGGGTCGTACCCGCCGAGGTAGCGGAAGACGAAGACGCCGAAGGAGAAGAGGTCGGAGGCGCAGTGCAGCTCCTTCCGGTGGATCACCTCCGCGGGGATGAAGCCGTGGGAGCCCTGGACCTGGCAGAGGTGGACGAGCGTCTGCCCGGGGGGCAGGCGGCGCGACAGCCCGAAGTCCGCGAGCTGCAGGATCATCGCGCCCCAGAGCTCGGTCAGGAAGATGTTGCTCGGCTTCACGTCGCCGTGGATTATGGAGCGCCCGCTCAGGAACGCCAGCGCGGAGAGCAACTGCCTGCTCAGCTTCCTCACCTCCGCCTCCTCGACGCACGTGTTCCGCGGCACGCAGCCGGAGAGGTCCCCCCTCGGCGCGAAGCGCGTGAGGAGGACCAGCTCCACCGGAGTCTCCACGAAATGGAGCATCTGGAGGATGTGTAGGGGAACAAACAATGGCATAACCATGACACATCGGAGGTCCGCGCGGATCTCTCGGATCCGCGCGGAACTCCGAATTTTCATGTCTATGCCATTTTTCGTTCCCATAGATGTGGGGGTGGGCGTTGCCTATCTCCCGCAGGATCTCGATCTCCCGCCGTATGGCGTCTGTCTCCTCCCTGCCGCTGTCCAAGGTCACGACCTTCGCCGCGAGCACGACCGCGCCCTCAGCCCCTCCGGCTGGGCCGATGCGCGTCGCGCGGCCGACTCTGACCGTGCTGTTTGACAGCGTGCCCGCGGCAGGGTAGATGACGGTCGTGCCTAGGAGGAAGAACTGCATAAGTTGAATCTTTTGGCGCTCCGCGCGGATGTCTTGGATCTGCGCTGATGCCCCCTCCCTGGCGCGCGGAGCGCGCCAACGGCGGCGCCGGAGGCGCCGCCGGGAGGTCCCCAGCGCAGATCCCGGAAACGGGCGCGGAGCGCCGACAGTTTTGTGTTTACAGTGGAGGCCAGTCCACACGAACCCCACCCTGTAGACCCAAGAGAGCGCGAGAGAGACGCCCAGGTGGGGGCGTCCTCCTCCTCCTCCTCCTCCTCCTCCTCCTCCTCCTCCTCCTCCTCCTCCCGCGGGCGACACAGTGGAGGCCAGTCCACAAGAAACCTCCCACAAGAAACCCGACCCTGGAACCCCAGGGCGTCCATGGATTTCTCTTGGCGTGGGGGCGCCACGCTCTCCCATAGCAAGACCACCGAGGCCCAGGAAACCCAGGGGCACCCTGGAGGCGAGTAGGAGGAGGAGGAGGAGGAGAGGAGGAGGAGGAGGAGGAGGAGGAGGAGGAGGAGGAGGAGGAGGAGGGGGAGAGGAGGAGGAGGAGGAGGAGGAGGAGGAGGAGGGAGGAGGAGGGGAGGAGGAGGAGGAGGAGGAGGAGGAGGAGGAGGAGGAGGAGGAGGAGGAGGAGGGGAGGAGGAGGAGGAGGAGGAGGAGGAGGAGGAGAGGAGGAGGGGGAGGAGGAGGAGGAGAGGGGGGAGGAGGAGGAGGAGGAGGAGGAGGAGGAGGAGGAGGAGGAGGAGGAGGAGGAGGAGGAGGAGGAGGAGGAGGAGGAGGAGGAGGAGGAGGAGGGGGAGGGGGAGGGGGATGAGAGGGGGATGGGAGGGGGATGGGCCTCCACTGTATGCCGGTTCTTTGTCCCTGGCGTGCCCCCGTGGAACTCCCACTCGCCGATACGCAGCGCCGCGCCAGGCGGACCGGCAGCGCCATGCGCGTCCATCGCGCCCCTGCCGGCCGGAGAGCCGCGGCGAAGGCCCGAGGGCGAGGTCGAGCTGGTCGCTGCATGGATCCCACTGGCGCGCGCCTCTCGAGTCAGAATGGCTTCGCGGCAGGAGGCTAACGAGCGCCCATTCTCTCAGTCAGGGGTATAGAAGAAAAAACAAACTCCATACACATAAATGGTTGGCGCTCCACGCGGAGCGCCAGAAGTTTATGCTTATGGCGTTTTGTCTTCTTCGAGGGTGAGCCGATGGCAAGCCAAGTATAAACTGCACGCAATGCTGACAACAAGCTTAAGCCTAGAAAAAGGACAGACGGCGATCGTTAAAAAGACACTCAGTCACATGCTACGTCGCTGCACTGGTCAACCTTGGACTATATGACCTTTCATCGCATTTGATTGCATTTCATTTCGTGGCATTTCTTTGCTTACTTTGCTGAACGCTGCTGATCATTCCGTTGCATTGCCATGGTTTGCTCTGGTTTGAATTGATGTGCTTTGCAGTGCACCGAGAACAATGCGAAGCAACGCGATGCAACTCAGTGAAATGCAGAGCTTCTAAAGCTTGGCAGCGCAACGCAATTCAATGCAGATCATGCGCAGCGCTATGCAATGCGAAACAATGTACTGCGACGCGAAAAGCAGTCCAAAGCACAACACAGCAAGGCGACATCAACGCAACGCACTGTGGTGCACGCAACGCATTGCGGTGCATGACGCTGCAATGCACCGTGAACGAAAATCCCGCGCAATGTGAAGCATGCGCTGAGCCAGAGGGACGCCTCGCACCTCCTGGCAGTGTGGCTGCACAAATCGCACCCTGGCTGGGAGCCTCGAGGGCAGATGTGGGTCCCGGAGCAACCGAAGACCAGTCTGCGACGACAGAGCGATCCAGAGAGGTGGGTCACGGGCTCCGAAGGCCCGCGTCGTGAAAAAACAGCACACAGAAGGTCCAGGGATGTGTCGACGGTACAACGACATGGGGGGCAGCGTCCTCGTTTTCGGCCTCAGCGGGATCATGTCGTCCTCCCCAGCGTGGATCTTTCTCCGAGCTTCCTGCGGATGCGTAATGACCGAATCACGCGCCAGAAGGAGAGAGAGAGAGAGAGAGGGAGAGGGAGAGACAGAGAGACAGAGAGAGCGAGTGAAACTGAGAGAGGCACGGAGAGATAGAGAGCGATAGGAAATGTATCGGCTCTCGCCTCTTCGATCTGGGGTCATTCCACTGGGCTTGCTGTGGTTGTCCGGCTTGAGCACTTGTCCTCTGAGAATGATGATCCCATTCAACTCAATGCTTTAATAGGTCTCCTACAGCTCCGCGACCGACGACGATGACGACCGACGACGACCGACAGACCGACCGACCGACGGACGACGGACGACCGAGACGACGACGACCGACCGACCGAACGACCGACCACCGACGACCGGACCGAACGACCGACCGACCGAAACGAAGACGACCGACGACGACCGATCGAACGACCGACCGACCAACCGAGATGACGATCGATGACGACCGACAGACCGACAGACCAGCGCGCGGACTGACATGGTTTTGGGAGCGAGGCGTGGACACAATGCTGGGACCCCATCCCCTGGACCGTCCCCCCCCTCCCCCCACAAATTCATATATTTCGAGCCCTAGGCCGGGTGAGGTTCCAGCCGTTGGTTTTTACGGAAGAGAAGGTTCGAGCCGCCTATGCCGACAGTGGGCGGCTCTAGCCCCCAATGTTTCACACGAGGAAATGTTCCAGCTGCCCACGGTGTCGGTTCCACCCCCCAATCTGTACGAGGGAAAATGTTCCAGCCGCCTATGCCGACAAGAAGGGTTGGCTCCAACCCTCGGTTTTTACGTTGGAGCATGTTGCAGCCGCCCACGGTGTCGGCTCCAGCCCCCCGCATGAGTCGGCAGCCAGAGCGAGCCACGCCTCCACCGCGGCCTAAGCTGATTCAGGACAACCATTCGACGAACACACCTCTACAAAGTTCTTTCGAGTCAATTATTCAACTGACTGCAGAGTACGTACAAGCGGCCTCGGTCGTGGACAACCCCCCGCTGTTGAAGTGTTAATCGGGTAACTCCTCGTCCTTGGGAAGAAGAAAACCACATGCGGCTGTGCTGTCCGTACAACTGAGCATGAGGTCGTCACATAATAGTTGCGGGTTAGTTAGTCCCCACACAAAGCTATAACACCGAACAAGTCTTCGCGGCTATTCAATCATGCGGCAACACAACCGTTGTCGGCCGGGTTCCTGGGCTTTCGGTTCTGGGTCCTGGGTTCTAGCCCTTGTGAACTTTGCGAGTGAGAAACGAAACAAGTTTAGAGAGGGAAGTGCGCAGGGCAGACAGTGGAGAGCAAATAGCAGAGAGCAGCACTTAGAGATAATAAAGCAGAGACAGGTTCGAGAACACCGACAACCACATTCGTCGTGCTTGGCTCTCGCCCACCAACCAGAGCGCTGTAGTTACAGTTGCAGTGCAAACAACTGGTTGATCTTTCTCTGGTGTAATGGTTACCGTCCCATTTCGCTCTTACCCTTGCATGTTCACTTCTGCCCCCTCCGCGAATTTCAAACTCTGTTCAATGACGGCGTTGCCCGTTGCGTGTAATGCGGATCAGTGGGTTGGCCGTGCTCCGAGACGACTGAATGCATGACCAGCGAATCCGTCTCCGTAGGATGGTACGTTTTTCTTCAGGCTGTTCCCAGGCGTGCTGAGCTGCGCTCTGAGCGTCGAAGCTCATCTGCCCGTCGAGAGACAACGACCGCGCTCTGTGTGGACTGCGGCGTCACAGCTCCGATGTATGTCATGTTCACGCACGATCTCCACGTGGATTACGAAATGGATGTCATATGCTGTCCTGCTGCACGGTAGCCGGATGAACATCATGGTGGTGAATGCATGGATATGGTGGCCTGTGGAATATTGGCGACCTTCTGGTGCAATGGAGATGCTTTCTTACTTTTGCCTGACCAACCTCGGATCATTCAACATTTTTTCGAAACTGACGCTGCCAACGCCCTCCCTGCCGTCGACGCATCCTGTGCTGGTGTCGTGTTCCCTCCATCCTTCCGCCCGTCCGTCCCTCTCAAGTCTCCCTCCTCACACCTCGCTCTAACTTGACGAACTCGCCTTCACGCGTCGGACATGCATTTGGAGCTCGATAAGTCGAAATCCACCTCCCACTGCTACACAATAAATCAACACCAATGCGACTACGTCAAACCATCGGGCACGAACAGCAATGGTCGAGACGGAGCGTGATTATGTCGCCTTTGGTCGTGTTATTCGAGTTCGTGGGACTTTCAAGCCTCCTTCATTCACCCGGAGGAGAGGGGGAAGCAAGACTTCTCCGCACAGCGCATCATGTCCCATCCCCTAATTTCCTGGTTATCCCTTCTCCACTTCGTTCGCTCGTTTGTCTGTGTGATGGGGCAGAATCTGCAATGGAAAGAGATCGTAAGTAGACGCAGCAGACACATCATCATCACCACCATCACCAGCAACATCATCATCATCATTAGCATCATCATCAGCACCATCATCATCATCATAATCAGCATCGGCATCATCATCATCATCATCATCATCATCATCATCATCATCATCATCGTCGTCGTAATCATCGTAATCACCATCAGTACCAGCATCATCAGCATCATCATCAGTATAACCATCACAATGGTCGTCGGCGTCATCGTCGTCATCGCCATGTTCATCAGCGTCAGCATCAGCATCAGCATCATCAGCATCAGCATCAGCATCAGCATCAGCATCATCATCATCATCATCATCATCATCATCATCACAATCATCATCATCATCAGCATCATCATCAGTATCATCACCAATCATCATCATCATCATCATCATCATCATCATCATCGTCGTAATCATCGTAATCACCATCAGTACCAGCATCATCAGCATCATCATCAGTATAATCATCACAATGGTCGTCGGCGTCATCGTCGTCATCGCCATGTTCATCAGCGTCAGCATCAGCATCAGCATCAGCATCATCAGCATCAGCATCAGCATCAGCATCAGCATCAGCATCAGCATCATCATCATCATCATCATCATCACCATCATCATCACCATCATCATCATCATCGTAATCATCGTAATCACCATCAGTACCAGCATCATCAGCATCATCATCAGTATAATCATCACAATGGTCGTCGGCGTCATCGTCGTCATCGCCATGTTCATCAGCGTCAGCATCAGCATCAGCATCATCAGCATCAGCATCAGCATCAGCATCAGCATCAGCATCAGCATCAGCATCAGCATCATCATCATCATCATCATCATCATCATCACCATCATCATCATCATCATCATAATCCGCACGCAACCTTCCCTTCCGCCCGCTTCCACCTCCCCATCCTGTTCCTCTTTTTCCTCCTCCTCCTCCTCCTCCTCCTCCTCCTCCTCCTCCTCCTATTGGCAATGCTACGCCTTCCTCCTGAGTATATTCGCATGGGCCACTGCACCCTACACATCCACCTCCCCCCCTCCACTTACACCTATATTGTCCCTGCTCGCTCCTCCTGCCCCATCTCATCCCGTCGCCCCCCGCCTCTACGTTGCAATCCCTCTCCTCCTCCTCGTCCTCCTCCTCCTCCACCTCCTCCTCCTCCTACCCCCAAACCACCCCTCTACCTCCCCCTCGTCCTCTCCCCTCTCCAGCCCTCCAACCCCTGCTCCCGTACAGCCGAAACAGGGACTCAAGAACGTGAATCAAGAAGACGAGCCCCGTCCATGGGGATGCGAAGCACGTCGCAAGGGGGGGGCACTGGCGAAGATCAGAAGTGCACCCGTCCGAGACCCGGGTCGTTCTCAGCCACCGTGCCAGCTGTATTCACCGCACGGCAAGAAGGGGAATCGAAGAGGATGATCCAGATCGGGAGCCAAAGGATTATCAGGATGAGGGTCAACGTCGACGACGACGACGACGACGACCACCACCACGATGGGGACGACGCAAACTGCGACAACGTCGTCGGCGACGGCTTCGGCGGCGGCGGCGGCTAGAACATTCGATGTTTTGATTATACCGATACGGGGACCCTGGAAATCCCGATGCTCCCCAGGGCCCGCCCGCTGTTCCACCCCAAACCATTGTCTTGACGGCCCCGGAGCCCGAATACGGCAAAACCCCGGTGGCCTTGACTGTGGTCAAGATGTGAGGGGGTTTGGCTCTTCATCGAAACTCGACCCCACAGACTCGTCTGGGGGTGCTTCTTGGGCCAACTTTTCGAGCTGCGTCCAGCCGTGGCGACGTTTCGAGCTGCGTCCAGCCGCGGCGACGAGAGCCTCCAGCAGAAGGCGAACAAACGGCATACGCATGAATCGTTGGCACTCCGCGCGGACTTCTTGGATCCGTTTTTTTTGGTCGCGGCAACGAGACAAGGGTCAGGCGGCGAAAGCAAAGTCCGGGGCACGAACGAGGCTAATTAGCTACAACAGGCACAGGCCGGCCGGCCCGCTCACAAAGCAGCCGCGAAGCTGAAGGGGAGCAGACGGCAGGGGTATCCTGAGAGCTCGAGCACGTGCACAGACAAAATGTCATAGAATTCGGAGCCTGCCACAGTATGAGACGTGAACCAGTATAACCAAGTCCGTCAATCTGAGTTTCTTGGATCCGCGTGGAGCGCCCAAAGTTTGCTTTTTGTATGCCGTTCTATCCTTCGTCGACCCAGCGACGCTGCACGCCTCGGGCCTCGATCCGCGAAGCTCGTGCAGCGACTTGTCAGCAACGCTTGACTGAAGGGGCCCCAGGACACATACATAAATACACACAAATAAAAGGATTCCCTATATTTTCCCATATTTTCTGGGTTTTTGTCTTCCCCCCCACTTCCCGTATTTTCCAATATTTTCTTGAAAATCGACGATTGATTGTGTCTGTGTGTTTCTTTCCCTCCTGACTTGTCAGCAACGCTTGACGCTGGCCCTCGGCCCTGAACGGCTGGGCCTCCGGCGGCCCTTCGGGACGGCGCCCCGGCGCCCCCCCCCGGGGAGCGCTCTCCCCGGCGGGGCGCGGGCTGCTGGAGAGAGCACCTCGAAGCTGCGGACTGCGGGCAAGACGTGTGCGTCAGGCTCGTGTCGTGCCGACTTCGGCGTTGGTCTCTGGCACCGCGAGGGTCGTGCAACCTCGAACGATCGGCCGTTTCCGACACGTACAAATCGTTCCACATCGAACGACTCTGGGTCGCTCGCGGCGTTCAAAATTGAACGCTGCTGGCGGGGTCGCCGCCGGTCGACACGACACGAACCTACCGTACGTATCCACGTCCACTGCGTCTCGGACTTTCTGGGAAGGGGCGCCAGAAGGCCGCTGCGCAGGGGATATGGACGAGGATCCAGCCTCCGAGGGCCAGATTGTTATCCATGTCCACTGCGCCTGAGGCGTCTGGGGGAGGGGGCCAAAAATCTCCAAGACGTAAAGGATATGGATACACATCTTGCCCGCACCGAAAAGCTTCAGAAATCCTCGAGAAGCGGCGGCGGCAACGACGTCGTACTGCCTGGCTGGGGGCGGCGGCGGCGGCGATCGCCGGCCCCACCTCGAGGCTGCGGTCGGGCCCGCCGGGGGCGGCGGCGGGGGCTTGCCATCGCTCGGGCGTCCACTGCACGTGCGGTGATTGGTGTCGTGCGCGTTTACCCTCCCGATTCCCCAAACAGTGCTTGCACTTAGGGGTTGCCGCCGTCCGTCGCCGTTGCTGTTGGGCCTGTCTGCCTGGTTGCCGCGTTTGTGGTTGCCCGTCGCCATCAGTTTCGCGCGTCTTGTTTCTGAGAACGGTGTCCCCCCATCCAAAGTACGTTATTGTTTTTAACTGGAACCCCCCGCACAACAATCATAATGCATCCACGTCATCATCGCCATCACCATCATCGCCATCCTCGCCATCACCAGCCATCTTACCGTCGCACCATCACCATCACCATCACCATCGCCATCACCATCGCCATCACCACCACCACCACCACCACCACCATCATCATCACCATCATCATCATCATCAGTATCATCATCATCATCAACTTCATCAGTATCATCATCAATCATCATCCATCACCATCACCATGGTCGTCGTCGTCATTGTCGTCATCATCCTTATCATCCTTATCATCCTTATCATCCTTATCATCCTTATCATCATCATCATCATCATCATCATCATCATCATCATCATCAGCATCATCATCATCATGAACATCATGATCAACATCATCAACATCGCACGCGCACTCACACACCCGCTCAGTCACCACACACTTGCACGGAGGGAAATATAGAGCGGGGGTCTCGTCTGTGAGGGGATTGTGAAGAAGTCTCAGGCGGGAGCCCCCCCCTTGGGCCCCCCCACTTGATGTTCATCATCTGAGCGGGTCATCGGAAACTTGTGACTGTCTTCTCTGTTGGGCTCCTGAGGCCTAAATCTGGAGAACGTCTCGAGCGGGAGCCTCGTCTGTGAGTGAAGTGTAAAGAACTACAGTCGGGTCGCTGAAAGAAGGAACGCTAAATAAGGAACGAAGCCCCTTTTTGGCCCTAAAAGCGCCTCCGTGCCCGAGGAGGGCGAGAGGGACAGCAACGGAGGAACCTGGGGAACATCGAGCCCCTTCCGAACCCAAACAGTTCCTTATTTCAGCGTCTTGACTGTATCAAGCGGGATCCCCTCTCCCCTAGGGTGGGCCCATTCCAAGTTAGCACTTCGAGCAGGTCATGGGACACCTGTATCTGTCCTCATTTCTGGGCTCCTGATACGTGAATATGAACGAAATATCGAGCGGGAGCATTGCTTATGAGCGAATTGCGGGGAAGTCTCACGCGTGATCCCCATCAATAAAGGCCCCAAACGTCATGTTAGTAATCCGAGCGGGTCATCGGGAACCTGTACCCGTTGTCACGTTTCAATACTTTTGCTTTCCCCATGCCTGAGTATGAACGAAATATAAGGCGGGAGCCTCGACTGTGAGAGACAAAGCAACTTCAAACGACAACCACCCTCCTATGGCCTCCCCACTTCTTGGTAATAATCTGGGCGGTTCGTCGGAAACCTGTAGATGTCGTCACTGTTGGGCTCCTGAGGCCTGCATCTGAAGGAAGTCTCGAGCGGGGGCCTCGTCTGTGAGGGGATTGTGAAGAAGTCTCAGACGAGAGCCCCATCCCTTTGGCCCTCCCACTTGATGTTCGTAACCCGGGCGGGTCCCTGGAAACGTTTTTATGTCGTCACGCTTGGGCAACTGAGGCCGGAACCTGGAAGACGCCTCGAGCGGGGAGCCTTGTCTGTGAGTGAATTGTGAGGAAATCTGGAGCGGGAGCCCCCTTCCCTATGGTTCTACCGCCTCATGTCCGTAGTCCGGGCGAGTCGTCGGAACCCTGTGACTGTCGTCACTTTGACGTCTGAATACGGAGGAAGTCTCAGGCGGGGGCCTCGTCAATAAGTGAGCCTGAAAGAAGTCGTCTCTAAGGGGAGCCCTATGGAGCCCTAATCTCATGTCAGGAATCCGAGCGGGCCATCGGAAACCTGTAACCGTCGTCGCGTTTGGGCTCCTGGGGCCTAACTCTGGAGGAAATGTCGAGGGGGATCCTCGAGTGCAAATGATTTGCGCAGAAATCTCAAGCGAATGCCATCTCCCTACTAATCCGAGCGGGCCATCGGGAATCTAAAACTGTCTTCACGGTTGTGCTCCTGGGGCCTGAAAATGGAGGACCTCTCGAGGTGGAGCTTTGTCTGTGAGTGAACTGTGTGGGAGTCTCGTGCGGGAACTCCCTCCCCCCTGGGACCCCCTCGTGCGGAACCCTGTAACTGTCGTCACTGTTGGGATCCTGAGGCCTGAATACAGAAGACGTCTCGAGCGGGAGCCTCGTCAGTGAGTGATGTGTTAAGAAATCTGAACTGGGAGCCCCGTCCCCTATGGGAGGCCCACTTCAAATCAGTAATCCGAGCGGGTCGCCAGAAACTTGTGACTGTCATCACTTTGGGGCTCCTGAGGCCTGAGTGTAGAAGAAGTCTCAGGTGGGGGCCTCGTCACTAAGGAAACATGAGAGAAGGCTCGAGCGGGAGGCTCGTCTGTGAGTGCATTATGAATGAAGAAGTCTGGAGCGGGAACTCCTTCCCGATGTGGCCCAAAAGTCATATGAAGAACCCGAATGGCTCATCGGAAACCTGTCGTCACCGTTGGGCTCTTAAGGCCTGGATATGGACGCAATCTCGAGCGGGAGCCTCGTCTGCGAGTGGACCGTGAAGAAGTCTCGAGCGGGAGCTCTCTCCCTCTGGGCCCCCACTTCGAGTCAGCAATCCGAGCGAATCATCGGAAACCTGTACCTGTCGTCACTTTGGGGGTCTTGACGTCTGAACACGGAGGAAGTCTCCGGCGGGAGCCTCGTCTGTGAGCGGGAGCCCCCTCTTTAATGGGGCCCGCTCTTTACGTTAGCAATCCAAGCGAGGTCCCACGGGTCCCACAGGTCTCACAGGCCCCATGGGTCGCACAGGTCCCTCAGGCCCAGCACTGGCCCCGAAGGTCGCACAGTTCCATACGATGCTCTCGCCTGGCGCACAAGTCGTAATTACACGTCGCGCGGGTCTTACAAGTCTCACAAATACCAAGGGTCCCACGGGTCCCACTGGGCCCGCAGGTCGGTCCCACCGGTCACACAGGACCCACATGTCCCACAGGCCTCACAGGTTGCAGATTCTACGGGCTCCATAGGTCTCACAAGTTCAACAGGTCCCTTAAGTTCCAGGGGCCCCACTGATCCCATATGTCACATGGGTCCCGCAGGCAGATTCCACAGGTCTCACAGGGCGCGCAAGTTCCACGAGTCTCACAAGTCCCACAGGGCTCGCAAGTCCCACAGGTCCGACAGGCACCACAGGACCCACAGGTCGAACAATCCCAAGAGGTCGCAGAGCTCCAAACGGGTCCTTCAAGCCCCAGAGGTCGCTTTCTGGTAGCCCATTATCCTGCCATCATCACTATCGCAAATCGTCGATGATGATGATGGCTCTCATACATTCTAAAGAGCTTCTCATATGGGGTCTTCCGTCGAAGTAACGTGTCTTTCCTGCCTGAGGCCGCCCGCGCGCTACCCCCCCCGCGGTCGGGCCTCCCTCCTGCCCCTGCCTCCGCCCACACTAGGTGTGCTTCGGCGCGGCGAACCCCGCCGGCTTGCAGACGCGCTAGCGACCGCTAACGTCGAAGAGAAGCAGTGTTTTTTTTCCGAGTCGCGTTTTTTTCTCAACAAGGTGATCCAAGCACGTGAGGTATGGTGCAGCTTTTCTGGCACTGGCCTCGACGAGAACATCGCACACGTCCGAGCGATGCCGAGGGGGGGGCGAAAGAAGGGCGGCAGTCGGCGGCCGGGCGGGGCGGCCACGCGGGCCTCGACGCCGCTGACGAGGCCGCTGAGGTGGTCGTGGGCGAGCTCGATGCTCTGCCCGAGCCTCGCCCCCACCCCCGTGTCATGACGAAATCCGTAGGCGCCTCCGCAAATTCGGATAAGAACGAAGGGTCCGTGGGTGGGTCACGGGTGGGTCGCGTGGTTGATCGCAGGGTGGCCCCCCGAACTGCAACAACAATGACACTCATGATATGGGCTCGTATCTGCTAGCGTGTCACACACACACACACGCACACACACACGCACGCACGCACGCACGCACGCACGCACGCACGCACACACACACACACACACACACACACACACGCACACGCACACGCACACACACACACACACACACACACACACGCACACGCACACGCACACGCACACGCACACGCACACGCAAACGCACACGCACACGCACACGCACACGCACACGCACACGCACACGCACACGCACACGCACACACACACACACACACACACACACACACACACACACGCGCACACACAGACACACACACACACACAAAACACAATCCTGGGGCCTCCTGGGGCCTCTTCTGGTATCCAAGTCGGGCCTCCTGGGGGCCTTGGCATACACATCGCAAGGTGTGGCAAACCCACTTGCGCTCGAGTGCGACTTCGCTGTTGCATGTCACTCCTGCTTCAAACGCTCCTTCAAATTTTTGGTATGAGCCTGGGAACGCACGTGCCACTTGGTTATATATTTTGATAAGGCCCGGGACCCCGGACGGACCCCCCCCCCTAAAAAAAATAGTTTCGGCCTTCCTCGAAATTTCTGGGCGGTCCCAGAAGCGCCCCAGACGGCCCGAGATACACCCAAGAGGGCTCCACGAGCGCTCCAAGACAGCCCAAGAGCGCTCCAAGAGACCCCAAGACCGCCCAAGACCGTCCAAGAGGGCCCCGAGACTCCCCAAGAGGCCTCCAAGAGGCTTCCCAAGAGGGAAATGTCATTGATTGTTGTGTGGTTTTCAAACGGTTATTCTGGTTCTCCCTTTTTTCGGGCCAGCATCAGCCCGAACCGGCCCAAGAGGCTCCAAAGATCGCCCCAAGATAGCCCAAGAGGCCCCCCAAAGAGCCCGAATACGATCCAAGAGAGCCCCAAGACAACCCAAGAGGGCTCCAAGACGGGCACGAGAGAGCCCCAAGAGCGTCCAAAGAGGCACCCAAGAGGGCCCCAAGACGCCGCCAGGAGAGCCCCACGACGGCCAAAGGCCTCCAAGACGCCCCAAAACGGCCCAAAAGGGCCCCGAGACGGCCCAAGAGAACCCCAACAGGGCCCTAAAAGGGATCCAAAAGGGCCCCAAGAAGACCCCCAAGATGCCCCAGAACGCTACAGAACACCAGGGCTCCCAACACTGAGCTTCAGCGTTACCCCCAAAAGCCTTCCAATATTTCTTGTCATCCATCCTTCTTCTCCCCGTCTCCCTCCTTCTCTTTCCCGTTATCCTCCTGTTCTTCCTCCTTCTCTGTGTACTCTCTGTTCCTCCTCCTCTCAGCCTCCTCGTATGTTTCGTTCCGTCTGCTCCTCCTCCTCCCCCTCCTCCTCCTCCTCCTCTTCCTCCTCCTCCCCTCCTCTTCCTGGTCCTCTTCATGTTCCTCTTCCCCACCCCGCCAAGATTCTAGCAAGACCAATTTTCCTTTCTCTCCCACTTCTGTTCTGCGGAGTCCTTCCGCAACCATATCGGCTGTATCCCAGATCTCCTGATAATACTGAACGATGCCTTTTGGAAAGGCGGATGCGTTCGCGTGCACTTCCTGCGGGAAGGAGCGGGAAATGAAGGATGAGGGAAGGAAAGGATAGGGAATGGAAGACATTGTCAGATCGACAACCACGGAAACGGCAACGAGGCGTTATCGCTTTCTTCAGCTATGCACATATATGTCGTCCCGCCTGCTTGCTCAACTTGAAGGACCACGGTAGTCTGGCCACTTTCGCCTGAGACCCTCGCATATTTGAGTTGCGAGATGCCCGGAGCAGCTTGTCAGGCAACTATCGCCTGATTGATATACGCATCTGTATGCGCACACACAAGTACACAGGCCATTTGCAGATACATGTACATACCCATACATACGTATATCTATATGTACAAATGTAATACGTTTCCATCGGCGCATGTGTGTGCGCATGTACGCACGCACGCACCCCGCTAACGTGCGAAACTCTAGAGGGCCAAAGTGCATGGCGCGCAGCGCCAATGCAGTCTTGTGTATATATATATATATATATATATGTGTATGTATATATTTACATATATGTAGATATACACATATATATACGCAGCAACTTACGATGACCAACTTATGTTCTGAACCACTAGGCAGCGAGCCGCACACTCGATTTGCCATCGTGCAGAATGTTTGGTGCAATCCAGCGGCGGCCGACTGTTGTATTACAGCGTACGTTCTGGATTCCACGAAGCGCAATCTATGTGATACAGTCTACGTGGTGTATTGCATTTCTGTTCGCAATGAAATGTCCATTCCACTGCTCGCGCAAACATCCCACACACCTACCCGCAACTTGGTTTGCAAAATCTCTTAAGACCGTGGCGGTGGGTACCAAATGGCACTTGGCAACGACAGCGACGCCGACGACGACAGCGACAACGACGACGACGACGACGACACCGACGACGTCTTCAACGACTTCGACGACGCCGGCAACGACGACGACGACACCGACGACGACGACGCCGCCGCGACGGGGACGGCGACGACGACGATGACAACGACGACGACGACGCCGACGACAACGACAACGACGACACCGACGACGACGACGACGTCAACGACGCCGACGACGACGACGACGACGGCGGCGACGACGACGACGCCGACGTCGACGACGACGAAGACGACGACGACGCCGACGCCAACGACAACGACGACGACGACGACGACGTCGCCAACGAAGACGACGACGAGGGAGGAGAAAGGACGACGACGGCGCCAACGACGACAACGACGACAACGACGAGGGAGGAGGCAGGACGGCGACGACGCGAACGACGAAGAAGGAGGAAGGACGGCGACGCCGACGACGACAACGACGAGGGAGGAGGGAAGACGACCACGACGACAACGACGACGACGACGACGACGGCGACGACATGGGAGGGACGACGACGAGACGCCGACGACGGACGACGACGACGACGAGGGAGGAGGAGGATTGACGACCACGGCGACAACGACGACGGAAACGACCACGACGCCAAAGAGGACGACGACGACGGACACGAGGAAAGACAGAGGACGACATAGGCGACGACGACGACGACGCGGGAGGAAGGAGGACGGCGACGACGACGATGACGACGCAAGAGCGCGCGCGCACGCTTTTGTTGAAAATCCGTGTTACGAAACCTTGTGTTTTTTGTAGGTTTTTTGGACACACGATGTTGCAACCCTTCCGAAGCCGATGGGTTTTGAAGGATTTCGGCGTACGCGCGCGACGACGCGCGCGCGTCTGCACTTCGTCACATTTTTGCAATGGATTCTCGCGACGTCACACGCGCAAGGGCGTTCGACAGATTTCGGCATGCGCGCGCGACGCCCGTTTGGTAGAATTTTGCGAAAATCTGGAAAACCTATAGTTGTCTTAAGATGCCGCAAAAGCCCGCGCGTAAGCTTTTTTAGCAACTCAGTGTTGCGAAACCCGGTGTTTTTGAATGTTTTGGGGGATCTCGATTGCGAAATCCTTCCGATACCGAAGGTTTTTGAAGGATTTCGGCATGCGCGCGCGACGACGCGCGCGTGCGCACTTCGTCCCATGTTTTGCAAGGGATTCGTGAGCAAGTGCCGTACCGTTTTCTATAAAGGAACCTCAGGGGGGCCGATACCGGCCCCCCTGGGGTAGAGTAAATTCATATTTAGGATGGACATGTGGTCATAGAGTCATAATCATATCTGATTTACATACCCGAAAGGGGGGCGGATAACGCCGGGGGGGATAGAGCCTATTCTTTTGTTAGAACGGAGAATATATGAGGTTGTCCAACCATTGTGGTGCAATTTACGCTGTGCAGTATATCTGGTGCGATATGTTCTGATCGATCGAAAAGGGCGCCGCGGGCGCGATTTGTTCCGTGCCATCTACGTGGTGCAATCCAACGGCGGCGACGAAACGGCGACGAGGCGGCGACGGCGACCGCGTAACGGCCAGATCAAAAACACGGCCCAAACGACGGGCGGCGACGACGCAGCCACGGGGAGGAAGCGGCGACAACGTCGCCGCCAGCTCGAAGACGAGGCCCAGACGACGGGCGGCAACGAGGCGGCGACGGGGCTTCCAGATGGCCACAGAGGCCCTCGAAACGTCCCAGGAGGCCCAACCGAGGGCCCCCGTATGTCACACATCGTCGCACAATTTCGGAAAACATAATGTTATATGCATATTCGCTTCCTCGGCCCCGACAGCATCCAAAACGACACAAGAGCCTCCAAAATCGCCTCAAAACAACCCGATAGGCCCACAAGAGGGCCCCGAGACGGCCCAGGAGAGCTCCAAGACGGCCCAAGAGAGCCCCCAGATGGCTCAAGACAAAGCCCAGAAGGCCCCAAACGGGCCCAAGAGGGCCCAAACCCTCCAGAATGCGCAAAAGGGTCCCAAGACGGCCCAAGAGGACCCCCAGCCAGCCGAAAAAGAGCCCCAAAAGGACCCGTAGGAAGGCCCGAAAAAGAACCCAGAGACTCCCAAAATGCTTCCAAAGCTGCTCAGCATGCCCCCAGAAGCGCATAGGAGGTCTCGCGTCTACGCCCTGCGCGGCGTTCCAAGGAAAAGCCTCCGAAGAGGCCTCCAGCGCACGAGCCACGCCATGCTTCTAAAGGCCACACCGAAGCACGCCGCGAGGCCCCAACGGGCAGCCAAAAAACCCCGGATTCACGATCCACCGTTCGGGGTGTGCCGCCCTGGCGGCACGACTGCCCTGGCGGCATGACCACGTCCTCCTCGCGGTCATGCCCGTGCCCCCGCTCTGTTGGGCGGCCGCCGACGTATTCTCCGAGGCAGCTCGTTGCTACTCGTTTCAGCAAGCTGCGCGCCAGTCGGCGCCGTGAACGCCGAGGCCCCCTAAAGCCCCTCAAGTCTGAGACCCTCCTCGAAGGCGCCCTGCCAACACCCGGGCCACCCCCCAAACGAGCGTTCATCTCTCGGCTGACGCTCGTCCTCCTCATGCGCTTTCCTCTGTGTATCTTCTGTTCCGCCTCCCACTTCGCCACCGTTGTCCACGTTCGCTCCGTAGTCGTCGGCCACCTGTAGGCCACTTAGCGCCGTGAGCGCCAAGGCTTCCCAAAGCCCACTCGAGCCTGATACGCTCCATAAGCGCGCACAAAAAAACCAGGCCACCTCCAAAACGCGCGGACATTACCCATCGCCATCGCATTCGACCAGCCACGAAACGACCAAGCCGGCTGCGAAATGTACAAACCAACGCGTCTTCCAAACATGATGGATTCGGATTTTGGTGCACGTTGCCCCCAAAGAGCCCCAGAGGCTTCCAACAGCCCCTTCAGACGGTGACGCAAGAAGCTTTGAAGCTTTGACCACGGCAAAGAACGTTTCATTGCGTGCCCCTCTTTTCACGCTGGGGCTCGCAACCCCTTCTCCGAGCGATGACGTTCACTCCTGTCGCGGTCATCAGCGTCGCCCCCTCGTCGCACCGACGCCAGACGCCTGCCCCTCTCCGGCGACCTTCACATCCACCCCGTCCCCAACGCCCGCGGCCCCCATTCCCGCCCATGGTTATCGTTTGTCGACCCATCGCCAGATCTCGCGGTCATCACATGGGCTCTCCCGCCGTCGAAAGCGCACTACGTCATGACATGCCCCCTTTTTTCTGGCGACCGCGGGACCGTCTGTCTCTCGGTGCCCGTCCTCCTCGCCTTTCTCGTCCTCCTTATGACGGTCTTCGTCCTCGCCGTACCAGCTGCGGATGACGCGTTTCTGTGCTTCTCCGTTGGCGCTCATGGCATTGCTCGTTGAAGGTCATGACCGCAGCCTCCCTCGGGGTCATCCCTTCCTCCCACCTCGCATGCGTGAGTTTGGCCCCGTCGCGCCGATGCCCGATCTCCCCAACCGAAGGCATCGGTTCTTCCCACATATGCCAAATCGTCCTTATTTGTTGTTCCAGCTAAAGAAACAAACAACTCGGCGTGTTGCAAAACTGAAGGGGCCCTGGGACACACAAATAAATACACACAAATAAAGATATTCCCTATATTTTCCCATATTTTCTGGGTTTTTGTCTTCCCCACCACTTCCTATATTTTCCCCTATTTTCTGGGGAGTCGACGAGTAATTGTGTCTGTGTGTTTCTTCCCCTCCTGAAAAACCTTGTTGTCATACTTTTTCCGCCCCAGCAAGAACATTGAACACGTTTCCAACACGAATATTTTTGCTGCGTTTCCAGCTGCGTGTTTTCGCGTGTTCGAATCAGTTGGTTGCAATGTGAACGTTGCCATCTACGACGCTTCTCAATTCCTCCTCCTGGCGTGCAATTCTTCTTCTGGCGTGCAGCCTGGCGGGCCAAATGGCCGATGAACCCTCCCGGGACCATCGAGCATCCGAGCCTGTAACGGGCCCGGGTTCGACCGGTCTTCGAGCGGTCGTTTCAAGTGTTTAACCCTGGGAGATAAAACGGCGGCAGAAACGAGCAGGAGCGAAGGCAGCAGTGAAGACAAGGGACAGCCTTCGACCAGAAAGCAAACAACGCTAACAGATTACGATCCACAACGACTGGCCGAAAAACGGTCAGAAAACAAAGAACGACACGGTAAAACACAGCCGCGTTTTCTGTAACGTGTGTAGCGTGTCAAAAGCCCAATGTGCAACATGGTTTCCAAAATACCGCCCATGCGCTTTAAAGGAAAAACACGCCAAAAACTTGCGTGTGGCCTGTGGCCCGTTCAGGGATGATGGCCGTGACCCCCCTCGTTGTCATCATTTTCTGTCACCACTCACCCATTTACCTAGTGGTTGGAAGCGCGTCGACGCAGAACCACGATTGAGGCAAAGCGACGCGAGCCCGCAAGTGCTGTGTGTATGTCTGCATGCATGCATGCATGCATGCATGTATGTATGTATGTGTGTATGTAGATATGTACAAATATATGTACACTAGAACCACGCGCGCGCTTCGCGCGCGCTTAGGTTCTAGCTAGGATCATTCTCGCTGGGAGTTTGACGTAGCTTCTCGGGAGCCTCTGAACCTGTCGGGGGCCTCCTGGAAGCAGGTTCGAAGCATTTTCGGGGCCGATTTGGGGCTTCTCGGGGCCTCCTTTGGGCCTCTTGGGGGTCTCCTGGGGCCTCTTGAGGGGCCTCCTTGGGGCCTCCTGGCGGCCTCTTGGGGCGGAAGGCTCGAGCGTGCGGTTCGTGGTCCCCCTCTGGGCCCCCTCTTGGGTCCGTCTTGGGGCCCTCTTGGGCCATCTTGGGCGCCTCTTGGGCCGTCTTGGGGCCCTCTTGGGCTGTCCTTGGGCCCTCTTGGAAGCTTCTTGGGCCGTCTTGGGGCGGTCTTGGGCGCCTCGTGGGCCGTCCTGTAACGTCGGAAAGCCCAAAAAGCAACTTTGTGAAAAATGTACGTTTTACGAAGGGAATGGGCCAATGTTTGCGTCTAGGGGCCCTCTTGGGACGCATGTTGGAGGCTTCTTGGGGCGTCTTGGGGGCGTCCTTGGACGTCTGGAGGCCATCTTCAGCATCTTGGAGCCCTCTTGGAGGCCTCTTGGAAGTTTCTTGGGCCGTCTTGGGCGCTTCTTGGGCCGTCTTGTCTGACTGGGGGGGCCTCCGGCAAGCCCCGACGAGCCTCCGGGCCCCCCGGGGCTCACATTTGTGGTCGGGGTCCCGGCCCCGGGCCCCCGGACCCGGTGCGCCGTTATATGTATACACATCGTGCGCTCATGCCTAGAATCGAGGTGCTCAATAATTAGTTGGTTTGCTGCGGCCACGGAGCCTGGGGGAAACAAAAACACCCAGAGCCCGAAACCAATGCATGACCTCCAGGACCCCTTTCCTCGGGCAGAAGGGCAAGCGAACAAAACACAGGCGTAACGCATCGGAGATCCGAGCTGAAGTCCTGTGCCGGCGCTGGACAATCGAGCGTCGAACAAAAAGTGATCTTGCGCGAGATGGCGAAGCGGCCTTGCGCGGCAGCTTACGCGGCCCGCCAGCGCGGCACGCTGCACTGGAAACGCGAGCGCTTACGCGCGACCTTCCACGCGCCAGCGCCGGCGCATACAAGCCCGTTGTTTTGCGTCGCCCAATTGGCGTCGCCCATGTCGCTTGGCGTCGCCCAGGGATGCGCCGGTGGCGAGCGCCGCGCCCTCCCCTCCCTCCCGCCTCGTCGGACCTCCAGGGTCCTGCTCTGTCCTTTACACTCCACGTGGGCTCCTTTGGTCCGCATGGCGTCTTCAGCGTAGCGCACACCCCCGGCAACGATGCCCTCGGGCGCCTTTTCGAAGGACGTCCGAGCTCGGCGTTCCGAGTTCCCGCCTCGTCGGCCCGAGCGAAGCGCGAGCGATGATCCGTGAGAGGTTCGAGGGCTGCAGGAAGGGGGCCCCACAGGGGCCCCGGAGGTGTGCAGCCGAGACAGGGTCACACGAGCGCGGAGCAATCAGGAGGGAAAGAAACACACAGACACAATTAATCGTCGACTCCCAGGAAAATATGGGAAAATATGGGGAATAATTTTATTTGTGTGTACTTATTTGTGTGTCCTTGGGCCCCTTGAAGCAAGAACGGGGCCCCTCCGCCGAGAGCCCGGGGCCCCGTGGAGCTGTCCCCGAACGACGAGCACCCCAAGGCGGAGAGCCCTGCGGCGAAGCACAGCAGGGCGCCCTCTCCAAAGCTATGATCTTCTCAGCCCTCGTGCCGGCTGTACAGTGGGGGCGTTGACCTAAGGAACCCTAAATAAGGAACGAGGCCCCTTTTTCCCCACAAGTGAAACTCCGATTTCCCATCGAAGCCCTGAGCAAAACCAAAGGCGAGCTGCAACAGAAACTGAGGAACACCGAGCCCCTCCCCAACGAAAAGGGTTCCTTCCTCAGGGCCCCGACTGTGTGACAAGTGCACCTCTCTGCAACCTCCCGTCAGTCGCCCCTCCGCCTTGCCATCGCTCGGAGACGTGCCGCCGCCTTCCCCGTGCATGGCTTGGCTTCGTGCGTGCTCTTTTTGTCTTCCCGAGGTGAGCCGAGGTGCCCCAGCATGGTCCAGAACTTCTGGCGCTGGTCTCGCTGAGAAAGACGCCCACGCCCGAGCGATGCCAGCCTCCCCCCCATTCTAATTGACCCCAAAGGGGATCCAGCTGAAAAGGGGGTGGTGCAATAGATTTAGGTCCGAAAATATGGAGTCGGAGGATCTCGCCGCATCAACGATGCATCGGCGATGCACCACCGATGCATCGGCGATGCATTGGCGATGCCCCAGCGACGTCGGCGGTGCATCGGCGCCGCCGACGTGGAGGATATCGGCTCCGCATCGAGCCGCATCGCCGATGCATCGGCGATGCGGCGTGATCCTCCGACCCCATCTACTCGGACCCCATCTAGGAGGCCTAGACCATGGGGCCACGCCCGAGGGGCCCCTCCTGGAGAGCTCCGGGGCGACCGGCCCGAGGCCCCGCTCCAGCTTCCGGACGTCCTCCGCCAGGGCCTCTCGGGGCGGCGAGGGGCAGCTCGGGAGGAGGGCGTCGAGCATCAGCACAGGGACGACAGGACCAGATTACAGTGGAGGCCCGACCACAAGAAACCTTCCACAAGAAACCCAACCCTGAGACCCCAGGACGTCCATTGATTTTTGGTGTGGGAACGTCACGCCTTCCACAGCAAAACCATCGAAACCCAAGAAATCCAGGGCACCCTGGAGGCAAGCGGGGTATTTCTTGGCATGGGCCTGCGCTGTACGAGAGCGGCGCCTGTGCAACGGTAGGAGGCCACTACCGGGAGGTCTCCGACGGAAGGACTACAAGGAGGATGAAACCCCACTGGGGGGCCGCTACGCCAGATTGGGCCGCGGAGTGAGCGGGATCAGGCTGGATTACGGCAGGTTCGTGTCGTGTCGACCCCAGCGTTGGTTTTTGACACCGCAGGGATCGTTCAACCTTGAACGATCGGCCGCTGCCACAACGTTCGATCGTTCAACGTCGATCGATTCTGGGTCGCCAGCGGCGTTCAACCTTGAACGCCCGCGCTGGGGTCGCCGCTGGTCGACACAACGCAAACCTACCGTAAGCGGGATGAAGGCGGATCAAACGGGATCAAGCCCGATGCAGCGGGATTTCGGACCAGGGCACAGTCGGAACTTGACCTCCCGAGAGCTGTATCCTAGGCAACTTCGGGCGGCGCCGGCGCGCGCAAAAAACCTTTTGACACCGCCTCGATCGTGCAACCTTGAAACGAGCGCGGCCCCGATCGTTCAAGGCTGAATCCCGTCGGGTCGTGTGGCCGTGCCGTATCCCTCGGTGTTTCCGCGTCGTTCTATCCTGCGGAGTTCAACCTCGAACGCCTTCGCCGGCGTCCCCGCCGCGCGATCGCCGCATGAACCTACCCGCAGGCTCGTGCAGCGTCGGCGCACGCAATGGTCTTTGACACCGCGTCGAAGGTTCAACTTTGTCGATCGCGGCCCCGATCGTTCAAGGTTGCACTCCGCCGGGTCCAGTGGCGTTACTTACCGCGTCCTTCGGTGCTTCGGCGTCACAGTGTTCAGCCTCGAACGACTTCGCCGGCGTCGCCAGCGCGCCAACGCCGCATGAACATACCGTCGGGGGCGGCCAAGAGGTGGGCGCCCAAGAGAGAGGGGTGCAAATCATGGCCGGCGGCACGTGCGCGGGGGGGGGGGCCGGGGGCATTTTGAGATAGGAAGGGGCGCCAGGAAACCTGGGGAGAGATCGTGGCCTCCGCCAGGATAGCCACCCCGCCCTAGTCATCACCCCTCCTCTTGGCCGCCCCCGACCGTGCCCCCCCCAACCAGATCGGATTTTTTGGAATCCCGTAACGAGCACAGCCGCCACTGAAGGCTCCGCACCGGGCGCACTCCAGCAGGAAAGGTCAGGGCACGTGAGTCAAAAAGCCGCCGAGGAGGGCAACACCGCTCTCGCGGTGGCGCGCAGCGGTTCTGCACCCCTGGGCGCACAGACGACCCGACTTCAGCGTAGCCTTGGAGCGCAGCAGGATCTGTTCTGATTTGGACGCCCGAAATGGGTACCGAAAGAACGGGTACAATGCCCAACAGAAAATGTTGTCCCAAACCAACAGCGGCCGCTGTTGGGCAGGCGGCCCTCTGTCTCAAATGGACGCAGACCGCGGCGGCGTGGACAGCGAATCCGGTTCAAAATGAACAGGAACTGCTGTTGGGCATTGTACCCATTCTTTCAGTGCCCATTTCGTTCGTGCAGATCTGAGAGGCAGGAAGATCGAGTCTGCGGTGGTATCCGAACCCCGGGGAGGACGTTTGCGGTGGCATCCGACAGATCCTGGCGGCCCTCTCGGGACGCGGGGCCCAGCGCCCCCTTCCCCCAGGAGGCCGACGACTGCGGGCGCACCCGAACACCGCTGCCCCCCGACGGGGCCTTCGCGGAGTCGCGCCCTGCCCCAGGAGGAGCGGAAAGAGAGAGAGAGAGAGAGACTCATAGCTTGGAAGAGGGGAAGGAGGAACGGAGCTCCAGCGGACTCCTGAGGAGCCCCCCCAGGCGTCGTGCGCACCGTGGCCGCTGCCCGCAGCAAGGGTGTGTGGGAGAACACACATCTGGGATCGGGGGGGAGGAGGAGGAGGAGGAGGAGGAGGAGGAGGAGGAGG